GTGCATTTAATAAATAAATAAATAATAAATAAATAAATATATATATATATATATATATATATATATTAATTACAGGGTTAAGAAGTATTTCACATTGATGTGCAACATCACAAACAAAAAGAAAAAAAAAGACATTTTTGTTTGTAAACGTTTTTATGAATAAACAGCCCTTTAAGTCATTTTAAAATCTATGAAAATTCTGAAAACCGGAACCGAAAATGCTTTGTAATATTTTATTAAATAATATCAAGTAATGTTGTAAGACTTTTTAATTTAACTAAATATTTTTTTCAATGATACTGAATTTTAAAAAATACAAGCCAATAAAATATCATACTTTTATTGAAAGTAACACAATAAAATCGGACAGAAAATATATTAATATTAAATATCAATATATTGGTTTTATTCAGTTCTATGCAACAGAATCAGATAGAACCGTTTTTTTGTGTGGTTTTTTTTCATTTGTTTGTTTAATTTTCCAAATAGTGTATAGGCTAGTCCTACGAAGCTATTATTATTATTAACAAGCTTACTACACAGAAATGTCCTGCCGGCGCTGTATTTTTGTGGACTTTAAGCATGAGTGAAATTTCGGTGCATCCCGACCATGAATGCATCATATTATCATGTTATGTTTTCTCTGAGGTTTCAGATCTTCTCACAGTGTTTTAACCAGATACTTCTGGTGTTTAATGTTTTTATGTGGACCAGGATTTTACCCAGAGCAACAGAAAGTGGATGATCTGCCGATGTGAAGTTCTCCTCTTCTTCTCCTCCTCAGGCCCTTTCACAGATGTCGTCACTGCTAACCTGAAGCTCAAGAATCCGTCAGAGAGGAAAGTATGTTTCAAAGTGAAGACCACAGCGCCGCGCAGATACTGCGTACGGCCGAACAGCGGCATCATCGACCCCGGGGCCACGCTCACCATCTCAGGTCAGTCTCATGTGTTTTTACTATTATCGCATTTAAAATATTCACTAATGTTTCTTATGTAAAACTTTTTGTGTGTAATTATGTGCAGATAAGTCACATTATGCATGTTTATAGAAATGCTTGTACTCTCATGTTCAGTTTTGTGTGTTGATAATTGTCTTTATGTCTCAGTTATGCTGCAGCCGTTTGATTACGACCCCAATGAGAAGAGTAAACACAAGTTCATGGTACAGACCATCTTCGCCCCCGCAGCCGCTACAGACACAGAAGCCATGGTGAACCTCCTGTCACTTTCTATAACGCTGTGTGTGTGTGTGTGTGTGTGTGTGTGTGAGTTAGGGCTGTGCGATTAATCGAAATCGCGATTTGAGACGTTGCGATTTCCTAATCGCAAAGCCTGCGATATGGACACGATATTACTCTGTTCCAGAGCATATGCATGACTGCCAGCCTTGAGTTGCAGCTCAGCTGTTTTAACCCTGTAAAGCCTGACGTATGAAATAATATTCAGAAAAATCAGATTTTTTTTTAATCTAACAGTTTATTGAACATTTTGACTATATATATATATATATATATATATATACGATACGATATACTTTATTGTCCCCTTAGGGGAAATTTTTCTTGGGCTTAGTGTATGCTGCATATACACATATATAAATAAACAAAGCACATAAATCACACATGAAGCATACTAAACAGGGGGGGCAAAGCATGCAGACAGTATATCAAAAGTCACAGTGCACAACGGAACAACCACTATTACACAACTTCCTGACCCATAAAACCAGTAATAAATAACAATACCAGCAATAAATAAGAATAAAATAATGTAAGACACTGCACAGAGTTAAATGATGACTACTAACCAGAGCCAAGTCACTGGACATTGTCCTACTCCTAACCATTCAACATTCTAATAGCAGGCACAAAATAATTTTTAAACCGATTGAATCGACTTTTGGGCACTCTATACCTTCTTCCAGAAGCAGAAGCACGTACTCAGGGTGTAAGACGTGAGAAGGATCAGCCAGTATCTTATGAGCCCTTCTGTGCACAGACTGCTCAAATAATGTTTGGAGAGATGGATAGTCTTTGAGGTCCACGATTTTCATGGCCATCCGGACAATCTGAGAAAGTCTGTTTTTTTATTGTACAGAGAGATTGCCATACCAAGCTTGGATCCCGTGCCTAATTAGACTCTCCAGAACAGCCTGGTAAAACAGTCATGATTTTTTTATTGACACCATAAAGACGGATTCTCCTCAAAAAGTACAATCTTTGTTGAAGTTTGGCACATAAATTGTCAACATGAGTCTGCCATGTAAACATGTTGTCAATATGGATGCCTAGGTACTTGTAGGAGCACACCTGTTTGATTTGAGTGTTGTAAATAACAGCAGGACTGTGGTCACCGACTGCTCTGGGGGTCAAAAACAATCTCCTCTGTTTTTTCTGTTTTTTTGACATTTAAAATCAATGAATTGGCATCACACCACTGTTCAAATTTTTTTTTATCTCAGAGTGATAAAAAGATGAATCACTGTCTATATACAGTAGACTCAAGATCGCTGTATCATCTGAGAATTTGAAGATATAATTCCCCGTGTGTGAGCTTACGCAGTCATTAGTGTAGAGTATAAAAAGCACAGGCGAGCTCACACAACCCTGAGGAGCACCTGTGTGCGTAAATTTTGGATATTGATCTTCACAACCTGAGTACAGCTGGTTAGGAAAGAGTAATACCATTTGATCAGGAAAGGGTTCCCTTTCAGTCGGTCACTCCCGAGTGTGTTTGTGAGTGTGTGTGTGTGTGTGTGTGTGTGTGTGTGTGTGTGTGTGTGTGTGTGTGTGTGTGTGTGTGTGTGAGAGAGTGTGA